AGGCATTAGATTCTCATAAGGAGTGTGCAACCTAGATCCCTCACATGTGCAGTTCACAATGGGGTTTGCACTGCTATGAGAATCTAATGCTGCTGCTGATCTGACAGGAGGTGGAGCTCAGGCAGTCACGAGAATGATGGGGAGTGGCTGTAAATACAGATGAGGCTTCTCTGTGCAACCCAGTTCTTAACAGGCCACAGACCAGACCCCTGTTCTAGAGGATGTCTTTCTGGGTTATCTGATCCCAATTCTCTGTAAAGTATGGATAACTGATTGCAATGCAAAAATAATTCTTGTTTATAGATGTGGATATTCTACCCTGTCCTGTAGAAGTTGCATTGACTTTCTTCCCCACCCCGGTTTGCTTACATTTGCTCGTCCTATTACCAAAATAAACTTGGGTCAGTCTGCCTGAAAACAAAGCTAACCACTGAAATGACGACTGCAGCCAGAGAAAGTGGAGCATTTATTATAGGGAGCCAAGCAAGGAGAATCTGGCAGCTCATGCTTAAAACCTGAACTCTCCGATGGCTTACAGACAAGGGTTTTTATTTTTAATTTTTGTTTATTTATTTATTTTTGAGTCAGGGTCTTGCTCTGTGATCCAGGCTGGAGTGCAGTGGTATGATCTTGGCTCACTGCAACCTCCACCTCCTGAGTTCAAGCAATTTTTCTGCCTCAACCTCCCGAGTAGCTGAGGTTATAGGCATGTATCACCACACTGGGCTAATTTTTATATTTTTAGTAGAGATGGGGTTTCACCACATTGGCCAGGCTGGTCTTGGACTCCTGACCTCAGGTGATCCACCTGCCGCAGCTTCCCAAAGTTCTGGGATTATAGGAGTGGGCCACCACACCCAGCCAGACAAGGATTTTTAAAGGCAGAAGTTACAGGCAAAGTTGTAAATTGATACATACAGGCTATATATTGATTTTACCTAAAAAGGCAGGGCATCTCAAAGGGAGGGGGCCACAGGTCATAGGTACGTTCAAATATTTTCTCATTTGCAATTGATTCAGGAAGCAAAGCTTTGTCTAAAAATTTGGGGTCAGCAGAAAAGAATGTCAGCTCTGGCTCCTGGGCATGACTTCCTCCAGGCCCCTCAGGAAGAAATTTAGAACAAAGACCAGAAGTCAGAGTTCAGTTCTCAGCTGCCCTTATCTAAAGTCTACAGGCCAGCAGATCCATTTGGTGGGTGTCCAGGTTTCTAAAAAACAACTCAGAGACATAGGTAACAAAACATCTCCTCTCTCTAACCTCCTTGGTGTTTGTTTGTTTGTTTTTGAGACGGAGGAGTCTTGCTCTGTCACCCACGCTGATGTGCAATGGCATGATCTCAGCTCACTGCAATCACTGCCTCCTGGGTTCAAGTGATTCTCCTGCCTCAGCTTCCTGAGTAGCTGGGATTACAGGCGCCCATCACCACGCCCAGCTAACTTTTTTTGTATTTTTAGTAGAGACGGGGTTTCACCCTGTTGGTCAGTCTGGACTCAAACTCTTGACCTCATGATCCGCCTGCCTCCGCCAAAGTCCTGTGATTACAGGTGTGAGACACTGCACCTGGCCGAGCCCTGATCTTTTATAGTTACAGAGTCCTCTGATAAGAACTGATGATAGAAGAGTGTGCTTGTTGGTATCTTTCTCTGGTTGGATGCAGTTTTTTGTTTGTTTGTTAAGCAAAACATCTTATCCTAGTTGGCAAAGTGCTGTATTAAATGTAAAAGGGAGTGTTTTTCTAAGATGGAGTTAGTTTCTTCAAGGGTGCTGTATACAAATTTGAATACTTTTCTGGTGGGTTCCTGTGGGGAAAGCCAAAATTAGGCAAAATTTCACAGATTCTCAGAGCCTGAACCTTTTTTATTGTGCGTGATTTTTAAAAATAAACCTTTCCGCTGGGCGCGGTGGCTCAGGCCTATAATCCCAGCACTTTGGGAGGCCAAGGCGGGTGGATCACAAGGTCAAGAGATCGAGACCATCCTGGTCAACACGGTGAAACCCCGTCTCTACTAAAAATACAAAAAATTAGCTGGGCATGGTGGCGCGTGCCTGTAATCCCAGCTACTCAGGAGGCTGAGGGAGAATTGCCTGAACCCAGGAGGCGGAGGTTGCGGTGAGCCGAGATCGCGCCATTGCACTCCAGCCTGGGTAACAAGAGTGAAACTCCGTCTCAAAAAAAAATAAATAAATAAATAAATAAATAAACCTTTCCTCCTACTCTACTCCCTTAGCTCTCAATCAAACAACAAACAATGGTTGTGACCTCACTTTGGATAAGGCTTCAAGGACCAGAATGGAGGAGATGGAAGGATATTTGCTATTGTTGTATAAGGGTTGTTTTGGTAGCAAATGATGGCAGCCTTCCTTGAATTGGCTTAAGACATAAACAAGAAAGTACTGAGGCCGGGCACGGTGTCTCACATCTGTAATACCTGCACTTTGGGAGGCCAAGGCGGGTGGATCACCTGAGGTCAGGAGTTTGAGACCAGCCTGCCAACATGGTAAAATTCTCTGTCTGCTAAAAACTACAAAAATTAGTCATGCGTCGTGGCACATGCCTGTGGCCCCAGCTACTCAGGAGGCTGAGGCTGGAGAATCGCTTGAACCCAGGAGGGGGAGGCTACAGTGAGCCTCCTGCACTCCACTGCACTCCAGCCTGGGTGACAAAGTGAGAGTCTGTCTCAAAAAAAAGAAGTACTGGGAGACTGCTGCAGGTGTTAAGGGTGTATTCACTTCCTGTTTCTGCTGCAGCAAAATATCACGTTTGATATTCTCTTACAGATCTGGAGGTGCTAAGATTTAGCAGTCTGAAATGTGAAATACAGGTTCTTTCTGCAGGCTCTAGGGAAGAAGTTATTTCCTTGCCTTCTTTACCTCCTAGAGGCCGTCTACATTCCCATGTGGGAGTGGGAAGTGAAAACAGAAATATGGCAGCTCTGACCAAAACCAAAAAAAAAGGTGATTGATAAAGAAGGTGGGCTATGGGGGACATTTTCTCAAAAGAAAGGATTGCTATTCATCAAAGAAGGAGTGAAGGCTTGGGAAGAGAAAACAGGTGTGCACTCAGCTGTGATAGAGAGGCAAACCAGGTACACTGTTTGCAGCAAGATGGGCATCAGGCTTTGTTCCTAGGGCTGTGGAAGTGGAGCAGGAGGGTAGTGAAAAAGTTGTTCTAGCCAGTACGGATGTGTAACAAGTGACTCCCAATCTGTTGACTTAAAATAACCACTTGGTTTACTCATGATGTTGTGGGCCAGGAATTTGCGAAGGACTGAGCCAGGCAATTCTCACTCAGCATTTCCCTAGCAGCTGCTCAGATGTCATCTGAAGGCCCAACAGTGCTGGACGTCCAAGCTGGCTCACTCACACGGCTGTCTGCTTACACTGGCTGTGGCCTGGTAGCTCAGCTGGGGATGCCAACCCAGGGCTCTACGTGGCATCTCCAGCATGGTGGGGTCTTGGAGTAGCTGGGCCTCTTATGCGGTGGCTGGCTTCCCCCTGCCCACTGAGTGGGAGTCTTAAGAGGACAAAGTAGAAGCTGCATAATTTTGCATCCTCAAAAGTTAAGCAGTTTCCTTTCCCCTACATTCTGTGGAGGCAGTAAAATCTCTTGAGGCCAGGAGTTTGAGACCAGCTTGGGAAACATAATGAAACCTCATCTCTACAAAAAATTTAAATATTAGCCAGGCGTGGTGGTGCATGCCTATAGTCCTAGCTACTTGTTCTGCACAATGACAAGGAGGTCCCAGGCTGGGTGCTGTGCTTGTGAGCACTTGGATCAAGCTCCATCTGCTCACAGAGTACTCCCTATCCACCACCAGCAGCTACCAACACTCCCAGAAAATCCAGTTTCCTACCCAAGTGGAAGAATGAGGAGGTACTAACCTTTAAAGCTGAAAAAATGACTTAGATTTGTCCCCGTTTATTCTCCTTAAGAAATACATTTATAGGCCAGGTGAGGTAGTTCACACCCATAATCCCAGCACTTTGGGAGGCCTAGGCAGGAGGATCGATTGAGACCGGCCTAGGAGACATGGCAAAACCCATCTCTACAGAAAATACACACACACACACACACACACCTGATGTGGTGGTACATGCCTGTGGTCTCAGCTACTCAGGAGGCTGAGGATCGCTTGAGCCCAGGAGTTTGAGGCTGCACCGGGCCATGATTGCATCACTGCACTCTAGCCTGAGTGACAGGGTAAGACTGTCTCAAAAATAGATGAATAAATAAATAAATAGCCAGGCCACAGAAAATAATTATTACAACTGGTAAATCACAAGAATTATGGCTGATGTGGCTCCCAGTCATTTGAACAGTAATGGGGCTAGTGGACTCATGTTTGGGAATGAAGAGGAGAGAAGGTTCAAGGGTGAGAGCTGAAATCGCTACGGTCTCCGCATCCCTGTCCCAGGAGAAAATGCAATGCCCAGCCTTTACCAGCTCCTCAACACTGCCTGCATTTCTTGGCTGGAGACCCCTTCTTCAGATCTCCCCAGTCTCTTGCCTCTGCCAGCACGTCCCCTGCCACTGACCCTGACTCTCCTGCATCCCTCTCAGAAGGACCTTGTGATTACATGAGGTCCACATGGATAATCCAGCATGACTTCCCCACTTCAATATCCTTAGTCATGCCAGGCGCGGTGACTCAAGCCTGTAATCCCAGCACTTTGGGAGGCAGAGGCGGGTGGATCATGAGGTCAAGAGATCGAGACCATCCTGGTCAACATGGTGAAACCCCGTCTCTACTAAAAATACAAAAAATTAGCTGGGCATGGTGATGCGTGCC